GCCAACAAAACACATGTTTTAAAGGAGGATGCTTGAGAGAAGCAGAACAGCAGTTGGGCAACTGACACCCAGATGGGGAAAGTCAGAATGCAATATGGAATAAAATCAAGAGGATGTGGGCTCTTCCGTTACTGGTATGGGCTGGTCCTTTAGCCTGTTTGCACATCAATGCCATTAGACTTAACTATGAAGATTTTGTCAGTACCCATGTGCCACAATGCTGCCCCCTTTTGGGAAAATTCAGAATTAACTCCCTTCCTCTTACTGATTCTGGAAGTACTTTTGAAATCCATTCCTAAATCCCCAGGTTCCAGATTCCCTTGCTTAGCCAAGGTTAATTTTTGCTTCTTATGCACACAGATCTGTGGTGTTTAACATGAGAGCTTCTTCCACAAACCTGAGAAGGGCTTCTAAATATCCAAATAACCCTTTCCCTCTCCTTTGAAATTATGCATTTCATGGAAAGGCTGTAGTTTAAAACTTATCTTAAAAAAAAAAAAAATACCTAACCAATGACAATTTTGCAATACTGCAGTTTTGCTGTTGTTCCAAAAACCAATTGTCACAGCATAAAAATGCAGAAAATTACCTGGACTTTACATATTTTTACTCCAGAACTTAGGAAATACAAAGCTGCTGAATTTTTCTGAAAGGCATTAGCACTGCAGAAAATCAGTAAAGAAAATTAAAATCAGTATAAACTTTTGGTCCTTTTCAATCACATTTAGCTTACCATAAAAATCAACAAGCAGTTTTCAGTTTGTTTTATCTGGACGCAAGGTATTTTAATTTTACCTTGCCTCCCAAACCACAGACTGATTTGGAACCAAGTCTCCAGAAAGAGGCTCCGAGCTACAGGCCTCTCTGTGAATTTAAAATATTTAATAGCCAATGAACAAACTAAAGCTTCCACAGGTAACAATAAGAATCCTAAACTAGCCTCTTTCAGCTGGTGGCCCAAAGATGTATTAGAGCAACAACTACCCACAGTCCACTACAACCATCTAGTTGGCTGCAAATTGTAGGAATTGTATACACACTCTAACCATAGGGTTACCTAGTTGGGGAAGGATGTCCTAAATAGTTTTAACCCAATGTATTAAGGAAAATGGAGGCAGATGTTTCATCATAGCCACATCCTAATGGTCAATATCTTGCCAAAACTTCTTAACAATAGTGGAGATACATTTGCACACATTTTTTACACGTCACCTTTGCTGCCCATAACATCTTAGCAGTCTGTCCCAAGACTAACAGGTGTCCCCCAATTTTTTTCCCACTTAACGCTCATCCAAAATGCCAAGCTACTTTAAAAACAACAAACTTCAACCACTGTAGTAGTTGATAAAAAATGCCTTAAAAACATTTCATGGCTGTGTCATTCCTAGAATGAATGTTCATTTTATGCAGGCTGTTGACAGCCATGAAGCCCGTTTCAACCTGTGCTTTGGATTTTTCTTCACAGCATGCCCAAGCATAAATCAGCGTCTTTAGTCTTGGCAAAATCCAAATTCTAGCCATGGTGATTGGGAATTCAGGGAGCTGTAATTTGATGCATCTAGAGGCCTCAGACTGGGGAGGCCAGATCTAGACCTTAACCAGTATCAGGGTAGAATCAAACCATGGGAAATTAATATTCCTAAAGCTGTATTTGCTCAAGTCATTTGAATGGAAGAACTCTTATAGAGGAGAGTAGGTTGTATGAAGAAAGATCTGACCTTTCCCATCTTCACCAGTGCTCCCTGTTCAACCAGACTTACTTCTGCTTTTAGAACCTGCACAGGCATACAAGTTAAAAACGATGGTGGGAGAGTGACTGAAAGATCAAGCAATAGTTAATTAACACTGTGATATTTCTCACAAGTGCTGTCCACATCTTTACTAGCACTGCAAATAAAACACAAGATGGAGAGACCTAATGTGTAGTTCTACCCTGGAATGAGGAATGACCGCATTGGAGATTTTCCATTCTGTTTGTTCTGCCTTGGCTATTTGAGTTGCTCTTTTTATGGTGCTAAACTTTTCTTTTCATACCACATTCTGAAAGTTTTGTCTCCTATTAAAAAGGAGAAGGAAGTCAGTTCAAAAATGGAGCAGCACTGTGGCACATTGATAAAAGGACAGCAGCCAAAAGTTGGAGAGTTCCAGGCTTGCAGTTCAATGCCTGTCACCATCTGGCCCTTTTCCCCATCCCAACACCTGTTTTTAAAAGCTGTGCTGCTATCTCCTCCGCTCACAAGTGACTCATGCTATGGGATTGATACAGGACAGGGAAGCTGTAGTGTGGAGGGAGAGAAGAAAGCTATACAGTACAAACAGATCTGATAAAAGGAAATCTCTGAAATGCAGCCAAAGGCTACCATTCTATTTCCTATAGAATAGTCTTTAACAGTAATGATTTCTGGTGGGATTAAACACAGAAAGCCTGGGAGGGTCTGCAGGCTATGGAAATAAAGCTCCCTCTTGCCTGGTGTGGGACTTGGAGTTTGGAATGTGGCTTGTGGAACTCAAGAGCAAGACTGAGCATCTGGCCCACAAAAATAACAGTCTTCCTTGAATTGGGTTAAAAGCAAAATTATGTAGGAAGGAGGGGAAATCAGCCCAGGATTTGGTTGATAACACAGCTGTGATAATGAAGCTTCAATAAAGTCTACATGCTATATCATACTTAAATGGCTAGAATCAAACAAACCAACCAACCAAAAGAACAAGAGCTAAACAGTTGCAAAACCAGAAATATGAACGTTGCTGTGGAATCTTGCAGCTGTGTCAAAAGACTTCAAACACCATCTCGTTTTTATACACTTTTTTTGAAGTAAGCTGAAACATCAGTTCAAGAGCTTGTATGAAAAACGAACAGACTGTCCATATCAAAATACAAAAGTACTATCAAGAATCACCTCTGACTTTTTTTTTTTTTAAAAGATTTAAGTTCAGTGCAATTGACATTTGTGTTGCTAAAGGAAAAGAAAATGCTGTTTAAATATACTCAAAATAAAAATCCCCAAAAAAACACATTTGTGTCTATTCCTGGGAGCACAGTTTAAAATTATTGCACAGATTTTTTTACATATTTTAAACTTTTAAAAAATTATTTTAATAATGACAGAGGTCAGCCACAGTCCTGGACCTCTACCGGTAAAAAGCAAGGTTTTTCAAGTGCCAGATACTCAACAGGTTAAGTTTCTTACATACTGTAATTCACAGGGAAAATTATTCTTAACCTCTTAAGCCTATTCCCAAACCCTATAAACAGTTAATACAGAGGTATCATTGGATGGAACAACTGTCCTTATGGTTATAAATCTTCTTTTTCTTCTCTCACAATGCTGTGCATAACTTTATAATCCCCCATTAAGAGTAACCATGATGGTGCATTAAAAGTCAGCTAAAATGGTTGTGGTTGCCTTACCAAGCAGAACTCTACTTGCTTCAAGATCTGGTTTCTGGGCATGCACACAGAGGTGGCAGAAGTCAATGCTGAAAGAACGTACTTCTTAAAGAGGGAAAATGGGATGCAGTTCTCCGATTTAGCACAAGCCAGAATGGAATATGAAAGATCGAGCTAAGTCTTACAAAGAAAATGGGGTTACTGCAGAAGCAGCAGTTCCTTCCTTGGAAACTAGGTCTTAAGCTGGGCCTTAAGTCAATTAAGCTTTGGTGTGCATTTCCCTGCCTGATGATGTAAAGAAAGGAAACACACATTGTAATAATGTCTAAAACACATACACTTAAAAAAAAAAAACTCATTGGAAAGAGGGAAAGGGGAATTCAATGTGGTATATAATTTATAAACGAAGAGGGGATCAGTTTGCATCTTCAGGAGGCCCATGCTTTGTGTACTGCCTATTGAAAGAAGTAGCAAAAATGAAAAAGATTAGAAGTTTAGTATTTCTGCATTGTGTTGCTGTGACTGAAATAGCGATCTAAAATGGAGGCCTCTGCAAAGCAAATGAGTGCAAAGCATTCCTTTAGGTAAAAATCAGGTGAAATCTTAAAAACCTTGAACATCTTTTTGTTTAAGAAGTTGGAAGCTGCATAAAACCTGAAGCATCAATGGGAGTGAAACAGGTCTGCCTTTATGCTGTACTTTTGCAACAAATGTCCCACTGTTGCTACCACTGTTTTGAGCTTGTTGGCCAGATACCCCTCTTGCTGTGAAGAGAGGAAAAACAAGACTTGATATCAGAAACAAAGACACTCTAAAGTAGTGATCATATTTTCTCCCTAAAAACAAATAGCAGCTTACACTTAACCTAAATTTGAAGTGTGGCGTGAAGAGAAAGGACACAAGTACACAGAAAAGAAAAAAAAAAATGGTGAGATGGGAGCAACAGGGTAAAATTAGTGCAAGACTGTTTTCTTGTACGGAAGCTCAATCACTTGACACTTAAAGAAGCATGAAGCAAGAGTTTTGCCAAGAGGATGTTCCTCCTTTCTTTTCACTTAAAAAATAAGAGCAGCTGTTCACTGGGAACTTCACCAACACAGTGGATCTTAAGCACTGCTGCAATACTGCTCAATTCCCTGTTCAACATCTTTTGCGGGGTGGGGTGGGGTGAACTTCCAGTAGATCAATATCTTGAAGATAGTAAACTTCTTGCCTTATTTCAGAAATCTTAGCAAAGAGACCTCAAGGGTATTTTTGTACAAAGGAAAAAAAAATAAGTGCTGTCCCCAAAGGTTGAAATACTTCCAATTGGGAATTTGGTTATATTGAGTAAAAATGGGAAAACTCATGCAGAGGTTGTAGCAGAAACATCTGGCAAACTGAGTATGAGACAAGCCCTTTCTCTCTCCCCACCAGTTTTTTCCTTTTCACAGCACTACCCACATGGACTATGATCATGCTTTTGAAGAAAGAGAGGATCCAATTCTTCAGTTTTGTTGTCTTTTGCTTAAACTTGGAATGTACAGACCACAGA